AATTAATATATAACTCATTTGAAGGGAGTACATGATACTTTGAACATTTTTAAATAACTGGTCATTAATTGGGTCATTAAAACATCATTCTGCCTATGTGACTAGACTATGTATTTACAATTTTGTTGTGCACATAGCTTATAATATATAAATATGATTTATCATGAATACTAAAATGAATATACAGTGTGCATTAACATTTTGGTTCCATAAGTAATTACATTTATATTTACATTTAAATTATTAATTATCCTTTGCGAGAGTGTCACTTAGTGGTGCTGTACAACATTCAACAGCGATATTGTCAACATGGGGTGACATACTGATATTTGTATCATCTCTAGTGAATATAATACATAACGACCAGGCCACCAGGGTCACTTATAGTGCCGGTTATATGATGTAAATTTTCTCACCTATTTGTATCTTTTATAAATTTAACTATTATACTATTACGTATTTTATCTTTAATGAAATAAGCAATAAATATTATAAATTATAATACATACTTGATGCATGCCATTGTGTTGTAATTTATATTATCTTATAGTTATTGTGTCTGTAAGTGCTGTATCTATCTATGTAACATAGTATGATATACCTAAATTTATGTTCAGTAGTTCCAACCGGGGGCTAAGATATATCTAATAATATCTTATGCCTGTGGTTCCAACTTATATCCTTATGCCTGTGGTTATATTAAATATTAGAATGATCCTATTAACAAATTCAAATGTGAGAACATTATTTATTTTGTGTTCCCCGGGTGGTGTCTTTCAATATTTTAATTTTTAAATGACCATATAAAATATTAATATTTATATAATTAATACTCATTGGAACTGCTGAATATAAATGTTGATATATTTTATGCATTAGTAAAATACTAAAATAGAGACGACAGATGCGTGTGGGTCTCTTAATAAAATATAATTATTATTTTTGAAATACCTATTAAGTACCTTCTTGAATGTTTGTTTCAGATATCTAAAGAACAATTTGATATGGAATTTGGAGAAGATGTTTAAGAATGTAATTGTATTTAATTATATAAAACTATAAATAAAACAATGTTAATTATTGTTATGACAGTAACTTTTTTTAAATGCTTATTTTATTGTTTATAGTTTTAAAATATCAAGAATTAATTGGATCTTGATATCTAACCAATAGATCTTGTTATTTTATTATTTTTAAACAATAATTTTCTATATTGAAGGTATGTTTATATTTGAAATGTTCTTAAATAAACAAGGAAGTGTGTAGTTAAATTCAATTAAATAATATACTCAAGAGTCAAGAGTCAAGGCTACATTATTGTTAATATTATTTGTTCTTCAATGGATCATAATATTATCATTTATAAATTTATAATATTATATTTTAATGTTCATTGCTCTGAAATGATTATTTTATATTGGATGAATCTTTAATAATATAATATGTAGATAAAGCACAAAGTTCAAAATGTGTATATGACATAAGATTTTCTAATTTCATTTTGTTCATAAATGTAAACACTTTTCACTACTATTATATTTTAGAATATGTTCGGGCTTAAGTTCTTACAAGTTTTTACGAGTTTGTGAAAGTGTAATTTCAACCTATATCTAATTTTAAAGTTAACTTCATTATTGTGTAACAGAAAAAAAATGTACAGTTCACACGTACATTAACACAATTAGGGGATGCAAAATGCAACCCAAATTTGGAGTTATAAGGTTTATTGAGTACCTAATTGCTGTTTGTGTAACATTTACAGACGTACCTACGGTTTATTATTTACATTATTGTCCTATAACAATTCGGGAGCACGAAATACTTCATAAAGTGAAGCAGCTTTCATACCATAATGTTTTTCTCGGCAAAAACAATAATTGCGTGCCTAATGTGAATAATTGCTGTACTTGTCACTGTGCCCACCCGTTGTCCGTCCCTCATTACGATTGCGAGTTTGCAACTTGCGACAAACGACAATGTAAATAATAAATATATTATATTACAATAAATTTACAGTAAATAAATAATAACATTAAAATAGTCGTATTACAGTTTTCTATTATTTATACATGCTTGCCGTCTGTTTTATAAAAATATCCTAATACGTTATACGTCATCAGAATTTATTGCCAAATAATTATTTATTGTAGTGCTACGCCCTATGCAGTGTAGTGCTAATTATTAACTCCTGAGTTCTAGAATTATACTATTGTCTATTACAAACAACTTATTAAAGTTAAGGTTGAACCACCGAAAATTAAGATTAAGAAAACGTTTTGTTTTTCAACCATGCATGAATGTGTTTTTGACTTGGGTCATAGACAATGGACTTATTAATTATATGATGCACTGTAGCCTATACTTTTCGATCATTCATAACACCACGGAATAATAGATACTAGATAGGTGGTAACCGGACAAAAAAGGCATTGGTAAAAAATCCATAGGATATAAAAGACGGATTTATTTTTGTACCAAAACAATTTACTACAATCTACAATTTAAAAATATAAAATTAAAATATAATAAAAAAAAAAGTTATTTTGATCTTATTGTGTAAACAATAGCTGTCAAATATTCATCTATGTTCCGGTGTGTTAAGCCATGACTTATCCCTACATATTTTAAATAATTTGCCTTGCATGTTTTCAAAAGCTTTTTTTTTACTATTTAAATTGCCTATAGCAAATTGGGCTAACTTTGTATCGTCAGAAGACAACTCTAACCTCATTTTTTAAATTAACGTCCAAATAGAAGGATGGTTGTGACCTACTAATTTTGAAAACCAATGGTTTCACCCTTCAGTTTGGTTGTTGGTTTGATGGTCATTATCAAGGGTAGTTTGATGGACAATCCATATTGATGGTTTATAGAGTGGTAGAATATTTCAAAATCTGATACCATTAAGGTCCCCCCCCACACACTGCAGCGGTGGCGGTGAAATGAGTCCGGACACAATATTTACCGCCACCGCGACGGCACCGCCAAGACAAGAGAATTTTACCGCCACCGCTGCAGTGTGTGGGGACCTTTATTTGGATTATATTGAACACTTTCCATGGACATACGTGATACCAAAATAATCTACCAAATCTGTTGCCTCCGGTGGCATATTTGTTCTTATATTTCTGTCAACCTATAATAATATTGCTATATTATAGACACAATCACGCAGTAATTTGTTCAATTTCCATCTAGACATTTGTGTTCCAAATTATTGTCTACATGATATGAACACCAATACGTCGGTATATACGTAATACGATTAAGATAAGATTAGTCTAATTAATAGTGAAAAATGATCAGACAATGTAGTTTATTTAGTATAGCGTACTAATAATAATATAATATTAGGGAGACTTAAAATGTGTCACGTAAAAGACACGTATTTTGGTATTTTCTTTAAATTATATAGTTTAATTTTCAAAATATTTCGCGTATTTTAAGCTATAACCTTTTTAAATTATATTAATTGTATTACATTTTAAAATAAATAATTGTACATTTTAGCATGACATTTGTAGTAAATTGTTTTGGTACAAAAATAAATCCGTGTCTTTTTTATCCCGTAGCTCTATTTCAATGGCTTTTTTTATCCAAGATGCAGACCATAGAGTCTATGATGAATATTATAATATAATAAATAATATTTATATTATAATTACTCTATGATGCAGATAGGTAGTAAGCGTTGATTATATTTTATTATCAATGGTAGTAGATACAACTAAGATTATATAGTTCTATGGTTTATTTCGATCATTCATTCATCATTCCACGATTCTCCGTCTCGATCACAGATATCTGTAATTTGATAATTTAGATATCTGTGGCATAGATAATAAAGATAAATAATTTCTTTATTATCTATGATCTGTGGTCCCAATCTGTACGGCGATTATCCACTATAGAATCACACAGGTGACAAGTCTCGATTCCGTAGAAAAAAATTTAACCGTACGGTCCCGTCGCGACCTCGGTCCCTGTTTACGCCTGCACAGTAATTATTTAATACATACGTAGGTATGCGAAACTATAAAGGATTAGAATCGTGCTAGTCGCGTCTCGTTGAGAATATTGTACGAATATAAATATTTTTTCAATTTTTTACTACATCGGAGCGAAAACAAATCTATAGAAACCAATTTTTCGCAGTCGTTGCTCATTAATCGTGAACGTATTCCGGACTCGTTAAACGGGTTGTTACTTGTTGCCGTATCAAAGCATTTCAATGGCCGGAGCAGCTTTCATTGTGCAAAGTTTTTAACAGAGGTGTACCTATTTGTATATTTAAACAATAAATGGTCACTATCTACAAAATCGGGTTTTTAAAGTACAATATTGTCAATTACTGATAAATGATAATTATGTAGTATGTACCTTATACCAATAATACCAATAATTACTATAATAATTCATACACCTATTTTTCTTTTACTTATTAATATGTTCTTTGGAATAGAAAATCATAAAATTCGTTAAAAAGAAGTAGGAAGAAGACGCCGTTGCCGCCGCAGACGCAGATGACATACCCCAAGTTCCCCACCACCGTAATAGTTTCGTGTGATATTTGAAAAACGGTCGGTATTCGGTACCCGTCTTGGAAGAATAAACGATACCGGGTGCGGTGGAGGGGTAGCGAGAGAGGAAAAAAATGGTTGATGACGTAACGTCCGAACTACGCCATTTCAGTCATTTCACTTTACATACTCGGGACGAGTACGACGGCGTTCCCTTTTCGTCGGTCGCGATAACGTAAACAAAAATATTTTATTTTATTAATTTTATTCGGCTTCCCGCAAGGCAAATCCGCGTACCTCTCAGCTAGCAGCGTCCGCGTCAATTGCACGCACCTGAACCTCGTACGCCGGCTTGACATCGCACCCGGTCATCCCATCGAGCATCGTGTGCGGCGGCGGCGGCGGCTACGACTATCACCACGACCACGGACTCCGGCACGACAATAATCACGACACATACACACCGCGCACGCCGAAACAATGACAGACAGTGACAAATTGAACATCGACAACATAATTTCGAGACTCTTGGAAGGTAAGCCGCCGGTAGGCCATATCGCGAACGCGATTCCGCCGTCCGTCTTTGGACACCCATTTCGGTCAGTTCCCTGGACCAATGGTGATTCGTTTGTAACAATTGTTGTAACTGTTCAACAGTGCGCGGTGCTAGACCCGGCAAGAACGTTCAGCTGTCCGAAGGCGAAATTAGAGGCCTGTGCCTCAAGTCAAGGGAGATCTTCCTGTCGCAACCCATACTATTGGAGCTCGAGGCGCCGTTGAAAATATGTGGTGAGTACCTCCACCGCTCCGATTCTGGATGTCGTGTTTACGTGCCTGTTGGCCATACCCCCTAACTATTACTGATTTTATTATTGCCAGGTACATTGTTTACTGTAATCGGTGTGTTGTTTGGGTATCTTGTAGTCGTATTCTATAATAACGTGCAAATGTGCAATGTAAATGGTGAGCGGAAAAAAAGTCCACTGTAATATCGTGTTTAGTATACGCCACCAAACAAATACAATGTAGTGGTTGTTTCTGTGCTTATTAAGTACATGCACAACAAATAGAATCAAATTTCTTGCCTAAACTCATTTTTAATGCTATTTTATCTCAAATATTTAAATGAACAATATTGTAGTTGTTATTCTGAAATACTCCAATTTAAAATTATTTATTCAATTTAATCAACTATTTCATAATATATGAATATTGATAAGTTATTAAATCCTTCATTCTTTTCTCTAAAATGTTTGAGTACAAATACAATTTATATACTTTTCGCGCATCATGGACAATGTGATTCGCATGTTGAGAACTACAAGATCACGCTAACAACGGGTAGTTGGTGGGAGATGTGCAGCACTGACATAAATCGGTCATCTGATAATTGTCTTTTGAGATGGTGTAGTTATTAAATTAAATTGGAATAAATATCATATTTTATGAACAAAAAGTATCCTTCATAGCTAATTAGTCTTAAAATGTAGTTATATTTTTTGTATTTAAAGGAAACCAACATTATTTGAAAATATGATTGATTTAACTAAGTAAATGTGTATTCTGTCCATAATTTGTCGATAAAAAATCTTTAACTGCATTAAACCCTTTAATGTGTTCAGTTATTAATTTAAAAAGAAGTACCGTAATTACTCTGAAGCAGGGGTTCTCAAACTGTGGTAAGCGTACTCCTTGGGGGTACTCAAAATGTGTTAAGGGGTACAAGACTGGCCAACAAACCAACAAGGGAAACATTCTTTAAAAGTCTTTACATTTATTTTACATATATTTTAGTTTAGTAACTAAGTGGGGATACTCAACAAAATGTATTGATAAAAAAGGGTACAGTGTTTATAAAAGTTTGAGATTTCCTGCTCTAAAAGCTTTATTTTTGACTATTCGCTATTAAGTGTATAATATTTATTATTTTTAAATAAGAATTTGTGGGAAATATGATAAAATTTCATAAATATTCTTAAGATTAGTATCCTACATATAATCAAAGTTTAAAAAAAAAACATAAAAATATACTAGTGTTTTAAACTTCCTAGATATTTTTATCTGTTTCTTGTGTTGTAATAACTCTTATCAGTTAAAAAAGTAGTCACTTATGATATTTTGTACAAATAAGATTTAAAATAATTGAATAATTAATGAAATATGTAAATGCTTTAGAAAACGTAATACAATATACTACATGTACAATTGTTAAAAATTAAAAATACGTTATAAGTATACTTAAAAAATTTTCTAGATTGTTTGATATTTAGTTCATTTAACATGCAACTTAATATTTGTATAATATGAATATATATAGGTATATTAATATATGTACTTATACAGTACATAGCTTTAAATGTTCTTGATTTAAAGTGAATTGTTTTTTTTTTCAAGGGGATATTCATGGTCAATACTATGACTTACTGCGTTTATTTGAGTATGGCAGTTTTCCACCCGAGTCAAACTACTTATTCTTGGGTGATTATGTCGACCGTGGCAAACAGTCTCTGGAAACGATATGTCTGTTATTGGCATATAAAATAAAATACCCCGAAAATTTCTTCCTTTTACGTGGTAATCACGAATGCGCTAGTATAAACAGAATATATGGATTTTATGATGAATGTAAGTAATCATCAAACAAATTCTAAGCCCTTATGTAATAATTTATTTAAATTGTTTTTAGGTAAACGGCGGTATAATATAAAGCTCTGGAAAATATTTACGGACTGTTTTAATTGTTTACCTGTGGCAGCAATTGTTGACGAAAAGATTTTTTGTTGTCATGGTGGTCTTAGTCCTGACTTGCAATCAATGGAACAAATTAGGCGGATTATGAGGCCGACAGATGTTCCTGATCAGGGACTATTATGCGACTTGCTTTGGTCTGATCCTGACAAAGTAATTATATTTTATTATTTATACTTGTAAATGTATTAATAATATTTAACTGTGTGATTTTTTAAAGGATACAATGGGCTGGGGAGAAAATGACAGAGGTGTATCATTTACATTTGGTGCTGAAGTTGTGACAAAATTCTTGCATAAACATGATTTTGATCTCATATGTAGAGCTCACCAGGTTTGTAAATATTTTAACAACTAAATAACATATTGTTAATTTATTTTGTAATTTTATTTTTAGGTTGTAGAGGATGGTTATGAGTTCTTTGCAAAGCGTCAGTTGGTCACTTTATTTTCAGCACCAAACTATTGTGGAGAGTTTGACAATGCAGGAGCAATGATGTCTGTCGACGAAACTCTAATGTGCTCATTCCAGATTTTAAAGGTAAGATTGTTGTTAAATTAATTTCTTTAAATTGGAGCTTATTACAATTAATATTTTTTGAAACAATATGAAATATCATTAACTTTAAAAAGGGACATAGCTGTGTTAGGGTGAGTTTGGTTTAGATATTATATTTTTTTTAATTGGTTAAAATAATGTACTAACAAGTATTAGGTGTATATTTATTAAGTAAAAAATATTATTTTAGACATTTTAATTAAAGTAATTTGAATATTATGATTTTAATATAGGTAATCTTGTAAAATTTAAATTACCAACTTAAAAACATATTGGATAATTGAAAATTGATCCCTACAAATGTAAAACTATAATAGTAAAAGAGTTTAAATTAAAAATAACTCTTAAACTTGTTTTATTTGTTTTAAAGACTGATAGATTCAAATACTGGAGACGCATAAAATTCTATGATGCTAATGCATCTTTTCCGTTGTCTAATTAGTAAGTCTAAATGGGGCAATCTTTTAAAACCTTTTCCTATAGCTGTTCACATTTATTTTCTCATATTGACCTAATTTTTTAACTGCACGAATTATGATAGAGCAGAGTCCCAAATCATCTGAGTATGTCAATTCCTACCTTTTATTATTAATTTAAATGTAATTAACATGTATTCATACAGAGTTCTGGCCATAACTTGGTATTAATACATTTTTCTATAAAAGTAGCATGATAAGTGTTTATTGTTGTTTATTCATTACGTGATTTTTAAAGTTATATAGATATTAGTATACTCCTATTTTACTGGACACCCTTTTTTTGTTCAATTTTTGATGTTAAACATATGTGATTAATAAGCATGCTGAAAACGATGGTGAAGTCAGAATTTGGAAGTCATACTTAGTTTTTAAGTTAGCTATTTAAAGTCTGGGACTCACTGGTAGTTTTAAACAACAAGTCAATGGATGTTTTTGATATTGATTGTCCGAGTAAGTGACCATGCCGAGTGTATATGAAAATACTATAAATATGAATTAACTACAAGTAAATGAGCCCACCAAAGATTGATATCAGCATACTTAACAATACATGTTATAACTGACGAAAAAGGATGTCTAGTTAAACAGAAAAGTTCCTAAATATTTGATTGTTAACTCACTATTTTCATAATGCTGGATATTGGCCTGTTTGCAAAAGCATTTGTAGTTCAGTAGTGTATATGTATGAGTAATAAAAATAAGAATTGTGTATACTGTATAAGGATATTGTCTTTAAAAAACTGCATATAATACCATAGTCATACTCAGGATGCTATCACAGATATATAAGAACTAAAGAGGCAGTGGAAAATTAAGCTAGTCTATATTTTAGTTTAACGATCCGATAAAACTAATCTCTAAAGTACCTGCAAATTGGGTGTAACCTTGCTAGTTAAGTCTTAAAGTATGACAATTAGTCGCTTCAGTAGCGACAAAGAAAGTCAGCCTACAGGCAAAATGGCAATAGCTAAATTTTCTGCTCTTGTATGTACTCCTTCGAGGTAACCAATCTCTATATCTTGACACAGTTATGATGAATTAAATTATTTTACCCACCGTTTAACTTGTTAACTCAAAACTAAATAATTCTTGTTGAAATATTTTATGTAGTACCTATTAATTACTAACTTTAACATGCAAACAAGTATTGAAATAATAATTATACATTAATTCATAGTCAAATTAATTGTTTAAACTATAAATATTCATTCCAGCCGGCCGACAAACGAAAGTACATGTATGGAGGATTGTCATCAGGCAGACCAGTTACACCACCCAGAGGATCTGGTAAACAAGGAAAAAATAAAAAATAACCCATCTTGATGCAATATATATTTCTATATCTAGGTATGCAACAACAAAGTATAATTTTAAAAATTAAATGTTATATAATATGAAAAACAAATGAAATTTTTTTTTATAGAAAAAAAACTATACCGAGTAACTAGTTTAAATAATAATGTATTTATATCATTAAGTACCTTTATACTCCATCATATAATGTTAACATAAAATCTCAAGATCAATTTTATTAACTTGTCATTTGGAGTATTTTTTAATAATTTAATATTATTATTGATATATTGTATTTGCACTTATTTTTTTTTCATACTCGGTCGTTTTTTCCTTTCCTTTTTTTGTTTTTAGTTTAAGTCTTAAATTATATTTTATTTTTGCTAACTTAGTTTTGTCCATATACTTTAAACTGCATACAATTTCTACAAAAAAAAAAAAAAAGAAGTTGCAATTTATTTAGAATAGTTCTAAATAAATTACAATTGAATCATAAAATCAACTATATTTGTTATTTTATCAGACATTTTTAGCTCATTTATTTTATTGTAACTAAGATGTATTTATAAAACTATTGTTTTATAAAAAATTAAAAAATCAAAATCCCAAAGTTAAGTACAACATAATAATTATTGTTATTTATTGTTTTGTGTATTTAGATTACACTTTCGTTATAAAACTATTATAACGTTATATTGTACATTTTCAGTAGAAATACGTAAATCAGAACATAAAACATATATGAAAATGTTGAATACTATCCCAATTGATATAATATATAAATCACATGCAATGTAAATATCAATATATTAATTTTAAAATTATACTATAAATGTACGTTTTGCATTAAATTTTTAATGCAAATACATTAAAAGTAGCAAAATGTAATTTATTTAATGAACTTCTTGGATTACTTTTTTTGGCAATGAACAAATTCTTTGCCTACGTAACACTTATTGTAATTTGTTGATAGCGTATGTATTATTTTATTATAAACCAAATTAAAAAATATTGTGTTTTTGTTTGTTGAACTCCTTATAAATAAAACAAAAAAAAAATTAAATACCAAAGACTAAAATATATTTGCTGCCAATCTTGAACATTACAAAAGAACAGAAATTACTTGTTGGATATATATTTGACTATTTATTAGGCCTAGCATATATGGGTGTTATATATGGTTTCTGAACATTATAGTTACCTGATTGTAATCTTTGTGAATGATTTGGTAATGGTAGTTGCCACTGAAAAGGTCGATCGAAAATTTTGCCCCTTATTTTCCCGATTAAAATAATTAAACACAAGTCAATACGACTGTTGGAAAAAAACAATGTAGGTATCATATTCTTATCTTGTTGAATACATTCGAAAATTGATCGGGCTGGATCAAAAGTAAATGGGGAAATCCGTTCTATAGTAGGTTCAGAGAATACAAAAAGGATTCAAGTTTACCTTCATTATCTGTAATTTATGTGTTCACTTTGAATTCAATGATCATTGCGACTATTAACTATAAATAAATATTATATTATTTCTTATAATATACCTAACCACAGACTAGATTATTAAATTTAACTGATTTTGTGTTATGACTAACTCTGTTAGAAAGAAACGTAGTCGTCAATACTACACGACAGGTATACGGATAAATTAAAAAAAAATTGACGAGGAAGTAAGCTATATTTGTTCCTAAAGTTAAAAATACTTAAAATGTGTATTATACTGCTACACAGTATTTTTTAAAAAATCGGCCTTAGCGCACCTGGCGGACGCATCCCGCCCTAAATGACGTCAAATTCCAAATTTATGACTGACTACGACACTACACAGTGACTACTGACAACTGAGTACTGACTACAAGCGTCCGGCTCAAGGCACACCGCGTTATCTGAGTTATCTCCATCGTGGGCTGTTGTCTGTCGCTATAGTGCGCAAGTGCAGTGTTCTTCGGAGCTTTGTGGGTGCCGCGGGACGCACCATATTACTATCGTCAACTCTGAGACTCAACGTATTATGTAAGTGTGTAATTTGTAGAATAATAACTATCATATTATGCTGTATTACTACCATCGAGATAAATTAGAATAAATAGTTGATTCTTATTCTCGATGGCAACTTCTACAATGTTCCGGATATGAGCACAGATTAAATTGTTTTCTAATATAATATGCGCGATGAGTATGCGGTCTGTGATTTAGAGTAACAGCATTATAGTAAATTACCCCGATAAAAATAACTTTTGTTTTAATATCATGTTCGTGTGTATTGCGTTCTTGTTTTGTATGATCACATTGAACATCGAACACTTTATGGCATTTTTTGTGCACCACATGTCCACAATCCACATGTGTTGTTACTTCAGTGTATATTTGTTGCGCTCGTGACGTCAGAGTCATGTGGGTTATCTTACCCGGTTATCCATATCATGGTATTATCACAGAATCTGTGGTATTATGGTAATTACTCTATGACTGACCGTGGGATTGTTCTACGCATGACGAAATTATTTCTATCATGGTTCTACGATTGTATAGATCGCCGCCTAATAATTCCATATTATACAGGGTGACCCTTGAGGATATACCCATTTAGGCGTAAATTGACTCCGTCTGGACAAAAACCGGTTAGTTGCCGACTTTCCGTTTTACTTATAAACTAAAAAAATGATTAAAAATCATGAAATTAATAAAAAATGAAATGCTGAAAGGTCAACATTTTCTGAAAAATAAACTCAACAGATGGATATTATATTCAATTATCTATTTCAAAAATAACTTAACTTTTTACCAAAAAATTTAATTGAATTAAAAATAAATGTTGTCCTTGTCTCTGTGAGTCAAACAAAAAAAAAACAGATGTATGATATAACTATTATCTCGGGAGATATCGCAATCATAAACATATCAAAATGTCTGTGACCGCAAATGTTTGAGACGTTTGAGTAATAAAAATAAATCCTCTCGGGATACCCTGTATACTTTTTATATGTATTTATTTAATTTGACCATTCTATCTTAAACCGTGAATATAACATATAGATGATAAATCTCTATAGTTCTATGGAATTTGGATGCGAGCGAATAATTTATTGGTTATGTTTCTTTTTGTACATCTCGAATTTCAGACATCTGGAAATCATAATATTTCAAAACCAAGGTCTTTTCACTGACCAATCACCGGCTTACCTCCATAGAAAAGATTCTAAAAAATCTGCCTACCACGACTGTGGAGTTGTAGAGAAATACCTTGCTCAAAACTCTAACGATCCTCCATGACATGCTATGTATATTGTTAGAGTTTATATATTTTCTATGGCGTTTAATGTTTAGATGCACAGTTGCTATTTCCACTTAAATTCACTGCAGTGATGATAATTATTATTGATGATATATTATTATGATAATGCTGTGGTGGTCGAAATGATCTGTGAGCACTGAGTAGTTGGTACCTGTCTGTATGGCTCATTCTGCGGCACATCTCTATCGGACAGTGGTTTTCATTATTGTCATGGTCTCAGACAGTCATTGAGGTAAATAAATAAATAATATAATATTATTATTGTCTAGAAAGGTATATTGTTTTGCTGTACAAAATTTAATTCAATTCTTACACTTAGGCAGGCAGTGAACATTACCAAACCATGGTGCATAGTATATATTTCAGTAATTAACTACTCTCTATCTCCTAAATATAATGTATGATATATTAAAAATTATGTAAATATTAAAAATTTTGTTTTATGTTATTGGTTACCATAATGTATCCAACCACCCCACCTACCATAAAAATGTTCATGATGCCTAAGAGTCATAAATCCCTGTTTGTCACTCCACTGCACTCAGGTGCCATTAGGTCTTTACCTCATGATTTATTGGTTGATGAAACTATGCACCTAGCTAATACTTATATCAGTTATATAAACCTATCATACATGTTTTTTTCCGTTGGACATGTTTTCCATTGAATTATAGATGATGTTGTGAACCTACCTGTAACCTTATGGAAATAAATAATTACTATTGCTAATGATATAATAGGTATACGTATATCTAATATACTATTTAAATATCAATATGTTTGTGACCAATCAAATCAATTTTGTGTAATAGTGTGTCACGATAGTGGGGTAATTTAATTTACAGAATATTTCTGGGAACTAGATCCCTAAATCTTTTATAGAAGTAAAAATATTATAAAAATGATACAAATATTAGTATTGTATTTCCTGCTTACTGGTGTATGGTTCAGTTACATTTTATTACAAGAATACAGAATAGATACATTTCCCCCTTTACCATTATCTAGCTATTATTTATTATCATGCAGCATATTAGTATATTACCTATTTGTTTTCCACATTTGTATTTTTATTGGCTAATCTAGTATTGTATTTTTAATTTGTAGTAAAAAAAAATGAATAACAAAGAGTCAGAACAAGTCAACATAGAACAAAAACCTCAAATATCTATCGAATTAGATGGCAGTGTAATTCAACTTCCACTATCAACCTTCAATGATATATTAGAACGAGAAATCACCAACTATATATTGAAAAAAGAGGCTAATGAAAATAATATTATTGACCTGAATGATTTGGTAAATGTTCAGAGTTGGAAAACAAAATATAAAGAATTGGAAAACCAAGCCAATATTCTTCGTAGCATTATACACCGCTTTAAGAGAAATTTAGAAACTGATAAGTTTGCTCAACCACCGAGGTGTATGTCTACTTCAGTTAGTCAAAATGTTAACATTTCAACAAATGTAAAAATGTAAGATTTTTATAAAAAAATATATTAAAAGTATTAAGTAATTTGTATTTAAATAATTAGTTGATATTCAACCAAATTAGATTTGGACCAATGAATGCATTAATCTTCTTTTTTTTTTTAATGCAATATTTATAATCTATACAACAAGTAGTACAATAAGTAAATTTGATAATAAGGTAGTATAATACATGACTTGAATGACTTGAGGGGGGAAAACCGTCCATCAACAGTACCACCTAAGTATTAATCTTACAATGATGTATGTGTTTTTTTTCCTGACAGTTATCACTAGGGAACAAATTTTAATTTAACATAAAATTAAAAATATTTAAATATATATATTTGTTTATTACTTAATAAATATTTATTTATAAATGTATAATATTTAAATTGAAAATAAGATAGAATTTATTAAAAAAAAAATAATAATATATAATACAAAATAATGCAAATAAAAAAACTTTATTCTGAATCATAGTCTTCATGAGGAAACTAGTTAGAAAATTTAACTTGAAATTTTCAAATTTAAAGTGACGACGATCCGATCTTAGCATTGCTTTATAACGGCTAAATGATCTCTCCACATCAACAGACATGATAGGTGCATATTTCGTACACATTAATTCTTTTAATCTGTATTATACTGAAAACTTTGGAGTTTTGTTTTATAGTATGTTCCTTATCGACATAACGGCATTAAATCCTGGGTTTTTTCCAGTATATTTTTCAATTTAAATTGAACACAATACAAAAATAACGTGATCGAATAACGCTCATATGAATACTGATCACAAAGCGAACGCATATATACTGAAATAAGAAATTTTAGTACCTACTATCAACTACTAAGATAAGATATTGAATTGTTATTATTTGATGACTTGATGTCAAAGGCGTACAGTACAGAGACTTAATCGTGTCGTAAAATACTAAAATAAAAACGGAAATTCTTTTATAATACATAATGGGTATATTTATTTGTAAAATATTTAAAATGTACACAAAAATTCTACAATATTACATACTTTTTATGTATTTATTTATAAAAAATTGTTATTATTCTAAAATATTTTAAAATATTTAAAATAATACTAACATCAGATTATTTAAAATTAAATGCAACATATACAGATATCAAAAACTTTCGGATGCTAAGACTAGATTAAAATATTTATTTAAATTAAAATTTGTTCCCTAGTGATCACCTTTTGGGTTATTAAAAAAACAAAAAATGCTTCGATTTTCTACTTGATTTTCGGTTTTCTGGTAGCAAATTGAATTTAGTTGGTAGTTTGGTTAGTCATTAGTAAAAATTCCAAGTTTTCCAAATATTTGAAAACAATTTTTTTTTATGCACCCAGTTAGATTGATAAAATCAATTTTTTTTTTTTTGAAAATCTTGGATTCATGCATTTTTCATCAGATGTGTCAATAAATTTTATATAGATGATTAAATCGATGACTCTTGTTTAAAGACATTTTCAATTTTTTTCTTTAAATATCATTATAATTTTTTGCTGCCTCTAAAAACTTGAAAATTTAATAGGAAGTTCTTCTTAAGTTGTGCATTTACTATTAAAAAGTTCCATGAAATGTGAATACATAGTCACATTATTTTTTTATAAGCTTAATGTGAAAATGTAGACAAAATTTGTCGATAATACAAAATTAGCTAATTACTTTGCAGTTGAAAGTTATACATTTTTTAATATTCATACATCATACCCAAGATTTGAAAATTTAATTCAAGGTTCCTCATAAATTGTTATAGCTATTTAAAAATATATAGGCATGTTTTTTTTTTATATAAGTATTTAAATTAATACAAGATTTCTCATAAGTAGTTCATATTATAACCAACAAAGCTCAAAATATATAAATTCAAGCTAATAACTGCAATTTAAGTTATTTTGTTGTAATTTAAAAATTTTATTCTTAGGTACTTGAAACTTTAAACATTTATTGTTATATTTTATTCTCACAATGACATTTTCAAATGCAAGATTTTTCGCTAATAATTGATTCAACCTACTGTTTAGTAATAGTAATATAAATTAAATTAATAGCAATATATCATCGAATATACTTAGTAATATAGGCGGACAGACCGAAAAGGCGGTTTGCTTTTGATCCAAATCTTTTTTCGTACTTAATGATTTATCATTGGATTCAAATTTAACACATGCTTTACAGTGACTGACTTGAGGTACATTTGGTACTACATGAATGGTTACCTACTTTCTCTCTTTTTAAAATGTTAATTAATTTTAATTTAATACAAATATTGAACAATTTTCCTTATAATATTTATGTTGGTAATTATGGATTTAAATGTAACTCCACTTGTTTATTAGATTTATCATACTTATAAACAAATTGTTTAGTGCACCTATCCCATAAATCAATGTATAATATTATAGTTACTAAATAGTAATTAACGTAACTATTTTTTAGGGCCAACAATCATAAGGATTCTTTTACGGAATGTCAAGTATTTACCATATCAGATAGTGAAGATGACCCTATCGTCATAACGGCTGATACGTCAAAAAACAAAGCAATACAAACTCAAGATGAAATTATTATCGATTTAGATAATGAAACCCAAGACTTGAAGGCTAAATATAAGCCAGGTCCAAAATCGAAAACAATTGTTTCTAAACAAGATTTCAAAACCAATGATAATAATAAAGAACTTCCCATGAATACTGAAGCCAGTAAAACTTTAAGTAATGGAGAACGTTTATCCACAACTATACGTAAACGGAAACCTGGGCCAAAATCAAAGACGATGGTTGTTGATGATATAGTTCCTAATAAGGCTGTAAATAAGGAACCTGTTGAAAAAAAAATGTGTTTAAATGAGTGTAAAGATATAAAAAACAAAAAATCAAATACTACAAATTTGTTAAATTGTAATTCAGTAAAGAAATTAGAAGTTCCCAAGAAGCATAATCATAATTTACTCATTAAGTCTTCAAGTTTAAAGTATCCACCACCTTATCCCTTAATACCACCACATAATAATCAACCGTCATGGAAAAACGTGCCACCAATTCCTAATATGACAATCAAAACTTCAGGAAATAAAGTTACATTAACTTGGAACTTGAATGTGACTTACCAGACAGCAGAAATAAAACTGTATGAACTTTTTGTATGCCAAGAAACAGATAAACCTCCAGAAGCCTCAATGTGGAAAAAAAAAGGCTGTATAGAAGCAGATATTTTGCCTATGGCTTGTGAACTAGAAGTATTTGATTTAGGATATGTTTACTATTTTGCTCTGAGAGCTGTGGATGTTCACAACAGACGTGCACCTTTTGCTTTACTAAAAACTAAGGTTTAGGTTATCAATTTACAATAAGTTTTTTGTATGTAAACTTTTTGTTGTAACTTAATTATTTGCCAATTTGTTAAGTATTGTAAGACAATAATTTTTTCTCAATAATGAGTACCTACCTACATTTTTTTTTAACTACCTCTAAACTATAAGACTTGTTGAATTTGTTTGACTGTAAACTTTTGTCTACTGATATCTATGGTTCAAATATAATAAAATATATATAATTTTACATATTACGTGAACTTTTTACTTTTGTAATACCACTTTTAAGGACTATTTTCATTAATACAATCACTTAAATAAGTGAAAAACTACACCGAATTTTGAATTCAATACATCAATATATTAAGGGAAATTATTGACAAAATAATTTACAGTAAAAAAGTGGATTCTATGTGAAAAATAGAAGTTTCTATCATCATAGGCTCTCCTTAGGTGGTACAAAAAATCTCAAGAATTTGGAAATATGGTTTCAAGTGCATTTAAAAATTTCAAAAGTTGGATCTTGAATAACTGCATCATGGATGAAAAAAGGGTGAGCATGCCTGATGAATAACCAGGAGCAGAGTTGTAATCAAATTCTGGCTGGGAAAAGATAAACCATTCAAGAAAAATTAAGAATTGTTTTACATATTTATCACAACTTTATTTAAGTAAACTCTCCACCACGTGAGTTAACACAGTGTACAAAATCAATAATAATTATACATAGGTGATGTTTACATCGATGTTATTGGCTTTATAACATACATAAAAAAATTAAATAAAAATTGTAATTTATTTATCAAACAGGTAGTTGTGTGCAAATTTCCTCACCACCTTTGCTCAAAAACGACAACATTGGAATATCGAAGTCTGTTTGATTGCGTGAGGTATTACACATGGCCCATTTTTTTTATCGTGGTTTCCCCGTTAAGGCTAGTCCATGGGTACAAATAAAGTGTCACTTTTATTCATAATATTTTCACCCCAAGTTGTGAACTTTGGGATCGATGGTGGATAAGTTTTTGTTTTTAATTTATTTATAAGATTCAATATTATATGATACAGTGTGTTTCTTTTTAAGGGTAACACTAGATAATTCTGTCCAGTGACGTCAGATTGATATGCAGTTTTCGAGAGGAGATAGGGAATACATAAAAACAAATTTCTTGATAATTTTGACATTTTTAGATCTTTCCGTGTGTGCATGCGCAATACAACTTGCATTTTTTAATAGAAACAGATGTTTTGAATACCAAATTCAGATAGACCGAATTTTTTAAAGTCAATTTGGTCCTTTTTTTTTTACCATAGCTCTAAAATCAAAATTGAATTTTTCAACAATCATTCTAGAATTTTATGAATTATTATGAAATTTTAAATATTTTTGGAGAGATTTATTAGATGGTTACTAGACATTTTTTAATAAAAATTATAAAAATTGTGTTGATTAGTTTAATTTTTTCTTAGTAAATTAAATATTTAGGTCTAATTGATGTTAACTAATTCCTCAAAATTAAATTAAAATGATTTAATAATGTCTGCAAGCCTACGGATACAACAAAAATACTTGAAATTTCATAATAATTCATAAATCGATGAACGACTGATTCGCGGTTGGCAATAATATTAGAAAAATAATGTAATGTAATGCAGGTAAAATTTGCAAAATTCTATCCATTAGATTGAACATATTATGGAATTAAATGATTTTATCTCAAGTTTTTGAAATTATATGACAAACTTGTGGTTTTCGTTTTTAATCAATAGAAAATATTATAACACTTTAATATTATTTAAATCATTAAACTCACTCAATGGTGAGTTTTTATTTAAAACAGTTTATTTTAATATTGATACATTTTTTCTGCCAATATGATCATAAACTTTTAAGTTACTCGGAAGTTCGTCATTACTCATTAGGAACTTCACGTTTCTAACATTTTCCATAGAAATAAGAGTTTCTCAAGGGGTTTCAATAGATTGGAAAATTGCTATGAAAATTAACTTGTGTATTTATTTTCCGATAACACAGTTTATTGAGGGGGTCTAGAATAAAAAAACGAGAAGAGAAGTTAATCTGTGACTATAAGAAGTAAAATATCACAAGTCTTAGAGCTACATTAAATATCGAAAATCGTCCCTTATACATGGCCTATACGGCTATACCTGTAGATAAGCTTCTTCTCTTAAATTTGTAGAATAAGTATTCATACTATACAGTGAAAACTGTCTAAAGCGAAATCGCATAGGACCAACAAAAAATTCCACTTTAAGCGGTTTTCTGCTTTATTCAATAAAACGGAAAAATTCCGGATTATTCAATTCAAATAAATACCAAAGAATATTTTTCAAATTATTATTTTAAACAATGTAATTCATTAAAATTAAACTAAAATATAGGTTTTATAATTCATAAAATTTAAACTAAAATAACCTTTTAACCATTCTTCTTTAATTCTATTTTGATTTTTAAGAGTATCGTAAACCTGAGTTTTTCCACAATTAAATATATTTTGTAATTGTTTTACTGAATGACCTTTTGTACATCGATCAGTTGATATTTTTCATTTAATGAAAGACACTTATATTTTGGCATTTTAATATTTAATGCGATGAACGGGAGATGAAATAAAACTAAAAGTGCAGTACGTACGACTGTTTCACAGTTACAAAGAAAAAATTTCGTATCGTTTAAGATGCGATAATACATAATAATAATGCGATAATGCATTGTATGTACAATGTACATAATATATTGTACGAATATGTTAATATGTACCTATAGAACAATTTTATCTTCTTTGTCGATCACTATTTAACGATGTACATTGTACATACGCATATCGGCATATCTATATATTTCATACCTGATTTTTGGTTTAGATTTGATACGCAAGTGTCATTTTTCCGGTTTATGCCAGGCTTTTACTTGCATGGGACTTACGAAATCGTTCCGTTTCCGCGTTATGAAGGTTCCGTTTTATTGAGGTCGAGCGTCTATGTAAAACTATATGAACGTGCCGGCCGGGACCATAGAAAAATTCCGTATTGACCGTATAAACCGTATAAACCACTCTAGTACATAATTTTAAATAAGTTGACACTTCATTTGTACAAGACTTCACATATTCGTGTGCATCAGTCTTATGATATGCTATCTACGGGGTATAGAGGTGCTCCAGAGACATGGTCGGGTGGTCGGGGGAAGTCATAATTTTCAGAAAACTTTCGATATTATAATATGTTTTTCTGTAATTTTGTGACTAACAATACACAATTTTTTAGAAATCCGGGCTTGTGGAGGCTTTAGCCCCCCTCTCGAAGCCACTCCTGCTATGGTCATCAAAATGAGTTTATAACTATCAGAAAAATTATGTTAAATATTATAAAACTTAACTTGTAAAAAAATTATTGTTGTACAGTATAGCGGCCGCTTGTCATACCAAATATGCAGTGGCGCAACTAGCACAAAATCTTAGGGGGGGCTATAGCCCCACCTCAATATTATACCAAAAGTAACCCGTGGGGGGCTGTACCCCCACACCCTCCGATCCATCATCTTAAAATTTAAACACCATTAATATCAACATTTACTTTTAATTATATATTTTATTTATATGCATCGTAAAATAGTTATTAACATATTACATATTTATATAAGATTAATTTTTCTTTTGTTTATGGCTGTGAATTGTTCCAAAATTATCTAAGGATCCATTTCTACATCTTTTTCAATATTCAACATCGATAAATTACTAAATCTATCTTGCTCCATTGTAGATCTCAAGTACGTATTAATTCGCCTCATGGCAGAAAATGTTATGAAAAATATTTGAAATATGTGTACTGTGATTTTTAGAGCGCTGATTTGTATGCATTAAAGAACAACCAAGTATACACTAAAAATCTGAAATATTGATAAAATGTTCAATTATACACGAATAATCGTACCGTGTTGCAATAGGACTCGCCGATGAGGTGAAACTTCTTTGCAGATTGTAGGAAATGAAGTTCATCACTGTCGAAAATGTCAAGTCTTTATCTAATGAAAAAATAAAACAAAATACAATTTATAATTGTACAAATATAAGCTGATGAGACAAATTGATTATTGTTACTGTTATTATCAGGTAATATGTTTGATATTTACTACCAATTACCATTGATACCTTAGGTATATATTTAATAAATCATTAATGGCTATCGGCTATGTGTATACAATACGTATAGCTTTACCAGTTGTCTTGACGAATGACGATGGTTGTCGACGTATAACTATTTCCCGAGAAAAAAACGCATGATATAGTTCAAATAGTCGAAACCAAATAGCATTATTATTGTACCATTATAAATGAATATAATTATGGATAACGCCGAAAGTCGCCGATAACAATATGTCTTGTCGCCGTTGATCGTCACTGTCATCTACGAGAAAGAACATTATAAAAACTTAATAAAAATTGAAAACCGACCATTTTGGTGTTGATCGTCAATCATCGTGCAATGCACATCATTCGATTTGATTGATTTGAATATAGTTGTATTTGTGCATTCAGCATTATATTAATGTGCCATGTGTCGTGTGTGCACTGTGCATAAAATTTGGGTTAGGTTTTTTTTTATACTCTGTTTAGGAATTTACGAATCGCGTACAAATACTTCCATTGAACAAGTACTCTATACTCGAGTCGTATAGTATTTGTGTTGTTAATTGTCATTAATAAAACTGTTTTTTCTGTTTTTCTTGCCTTAAAGTATTATAAGTATAGAGATAGGATTTGAATGACCTAAGAAATACACAAAAAAGCACTAAAAAAAAATATGCAAAAATGGCCTAAAAACTCTAAAGAGTGAACTTCAAAAATGACCAAAATATGTACTTAGATGAGCGAAAAAAAGTTAATTTTAAAATATTACTATACTAGTTATTAATTATTATTTATTCATTTTTTATACTACACAAAATAGGTGAAAATTTGTCTTAAGAAGTAAATTAAACAAATATATTCAAATATGAGTTGACTTGTAAGTGTATCGTATATTGACTACTAAAGCTTCTATGATATACCTATTACCTATATAGTTTTGAGTTCGTTCGATGTTTATAATCTTATCGAATAAATCATCAATTAGATTACTTTTTCGGCGCATCTCAAACGGCTTCCGTCGAAAAAGGTAATACGAATAGCTAAATTTTTAAACAGCTGACTAAAATCGGTTTACTGATGTACCGTATACCGTTGTGTAATTTAAATTTAAACAAAAATATCTGACACATTGATAATATCGAAATTAGTAAATACCAAAACATTGAACATATTATCTATACCAGCATTACTATTAAAAATGTGGTCCGAGTGGCGAGTGTTCAGCTTCCTTTTCTTTGACCACAAATAGTTAAAAATCGTTCCACACCAGATTAGACAGCGAACTCAATTCTACTCATCCTAATGACCTAATACTTATTGTAATGTTATTGACTACTAACCCAAATACAACCCCGGGACGCAAATTACAACTCGAAGTCAAAAATTGACCTAATATATATATTTTAGATTCTGAGCAGAGCGATGTATGTATTGATTTAACAAGGATGTGTATTTTTATATTTATTTATTTATTTATTTTTTGTCTGACATCACGGTTTCTTGCAGTAAAAGTACTTCGATTTTCTTCAACAGCAACTTTTCTGGCAGGCAAGTGATTCTAGTTAGGGCATTCGGATAAGTTTTAAATAAAGTCAAAATTTTAAATTACCAATAGTTTTCAAAAGCGACAGGAAAAATGGGAAATTTTACAGATACCCATTTTTTTCACAAAATCGATTTTTGTTTTTGATGTTTTTGAACTCTAAAAAAAAAAATATCGTAAATACATGAAATTTTCACTGAATGCGTGTGTAAGCATTTTCTATACACTATACAATTTTCAACATATTTTGATTTGTGTTGAACTATTCATAAGAATTATGAAATTTTCGATTATTATTTGTTTTTTTTTTAAATTTAAGTAGATAAAAAACTGTTTGCTCAGTCAAAAAAATTGTAAATGTAATACAAGGTTCCATGTAAGTTGTTGTTAATGGAAATTAAAAAAAATTGAGCGTAAATCCACAATCATTTTTTATGAGCCAAACGCAAAACTTAGAATTTTGAAAATTTGTAAAAATCACGGGAATTAGCAAGTTATATTTAGTTAATAATAAAACAGATAATGTTATTTAATTGTAGCGATGATAGTTACACGATAGATGGGATATTGTCAGTTGGTTTTGATAATAGTTAAGGGGAATTTATAAAAAAATTAAAAAATAAACGCTTTGAACATATTGGATTTTATTAGTCTGACCTAACTAGAATGTATGAATAGGTAATACTGGTAATAGGTATAATAAGAGAGGATGGGAAGGGCAATAATCTAAACTCCATTTCAATACAAGGTCATCGTTCTGAAATATTTAGTGGTACCTCTTAGCGTGATAACACGTTTTCACCGTGGCATGGCAAGATAACCTTATTGTCAGTCACATTAATTTACCCATAGGGCCATAGCCCATAGATAATATATATTATCTATGAATTTACCACAGACTTCTATAATATGGTAGTATAGAAGTTAGTAGTACCAAGAATTAGAAGTTTAGTATACAGTAATCCCTCGTAATCCCTCCTACATACCTTAATATGTACGGTTAATTTGTTATATCTTAAAATTGTTCAGTTGTTGGTTGATATTAGTGCGTGACACGTGTACGGTTGTATTACTATTTAATTTAGTACCATACTTATGTACAAAATAATAAAAATTAAAAATTGTACGTAAGTGGTAAGTAAAACCTAACTTCCCATTTTACATTGCTTTATGGTCTCGTTATCCGCGGTTTATATATCCGCGCAACTTTGCTGGAACCTAACCTCCGCGGATAACGAGGGATTACTGCATACATTTGTGCATTTGACTAACAAAGTGCACACAGATTAATCATAGAATTAGGCTTGGCAGTTAGAGTGTTAAAATGTATTAAAATAATTTCTACAAACATACCTATAAAAATATTTAGATAAATTACAAACATTTACAGTAGATGACTAAAGTTTTCATTTAAAATAATGCTTAGATTTATATCTAGATAAAATGATAGATGATTAATATTCTTATTTATATAAATGTATTTAGATAAGTCTCGACACTTTACTCACACTCACACTATTTACCTAACCTAACCTACGCACGGACTAACAAGAGCAGTAACCATGGCACCACCGCTCACCAGACAGCGGTTAACAGTGGTTCGTCGTGGCATCAACGGAGCAGAAATGCTACCAGGTGAGTAGGTACCTACTACCTATCCGTCTTTGTACTTTGTAGGAAGTGCGTTATTTTTACCGCTTCACATGGTGATTTGTGTTAGCCGTTTGGCGTTTGGCGTTTACGCAGTGTCAGCCTGGCACACGAAAGGCCCCTGTATTAATTTTTTTAAAGGGCCCTGTAACGAAATACGAAGGCCACAACAATTCTCAAAACAGCCCTGGGACCTGTAAAGAAAAATAGAGCTTGACAATTACGTACGGATTAATATTTCCATAAATGCTTTACGGGGTCCTTATACTCCATATACAAACCAGGGACACGTCAAAGAAATAACAAATTTAAGAGACCCGAAACGGAGTTTCCCTTTTAAATTTTTTTTTATATTAGTTAAGACATTATATAATAGGTGTAGGTAAATAAAACAAATATGAAATAAAAAGTTTAACTTGTTATCATAAATATACTTCCCCCCCCCCCCCCAGAAAAACGTGTCTATTCCACTAAGGTTGACAGACGATAGACCGTCTTCAATCTGAATCGTTTTTCTATTTTTCGTATTCAATGACTTTTTCATTTTATATCATTGAATCAAATTTAACACATCAATTTCAGTGACCCACAGCTAAATAACACGTTATTGTTATAGCAAAGCGGTAAATCACTTGCCTGCCTTATTTTTATTTATATCCACACGACTCTCCTACATAAGTAACATACTTACATATACCACCCGTATACTAGCACTTACAGGATTTGCTTAGCAAACGTGCATTTCACTTCCTGTTTAGTGCTATAAACAGGCCCCCTAAATCAAATCTTGAGCCCCTGAACTCAGTGTTTTTGAGAGCACTTTTTACAAAACTTTCAATAGTAAAATATACTGATGTTAGAAAATTCGTAAAATTTTTATAAAAGTAATTTATATGCCCTATAAAATTTACGAAACATTGCGATTATTTTTGAGTTATTTATTTAACTCGAACTTCTAACTTCAATTTTCAGTTTACCACTTCGACTACATTTTTAAATAGTGTATTGAAAAATGTTTGTAGTTGGACAGTAGGTACCTATATTTCATTGAGAGCAATCAAGTTGTGTTTTTTTGTAATTAAAAAGGTTAAACGGGAGCAATCCTGCAGATTTGTTAAGCTCAATAAAAGTGTTGCGTCTTTTGTATGTAAAAAGGTAGGACGGGATTTATATAATAGGTCCATCGATTTTAAAGTTTAGTTTATAATTGAGTAGACAAGTTTTATATCAGTTTTGTTATGCTGCACTATACGGCGATGTAGGTACTCCATACTAGATATCGTTATTCGTCAAATCATCGAATAAAAACGATCGCAGTGTGATTTTATCAGATAATTGTTACGTTACACTACATACTTAATATTTTCGTCTGTATTTTGTTTGTTATAATTTGTATAATTAATAAAAATTTAAGATTACGAAATGCAAAAGAGGGGGAAATGGCTATAGATATTTATCAGGTATTAAAAATAATGTTTGTATTAGTTAAGTATAAAACTATACTATATCTCAACAATTATAATATATGATAAGACTCAATAAGAGATAAATGAGCGGTTCACAAAAATTAAAATATATGTACCAACTATAAATATTAATAAATAGTAGTGTACATAATATAATCTTATATAATAGACATGATGTAGATTTAGGTTTTTTATTCATAGGTTATTGGGAATTCTTTATGAGTTTATTTATAGGGACGATGAGAGGGAAAGTAGAGGGCTTAATGAGGTTTTTATTTTTGCAAGGCAGCTGAATATTTTCTTGGAATTATTTTTTGAGGGTAGAGACTAGAGAGATGCGCTTAGGTTAGCACACCATCATATAGGCCAGCATTAGGTTTAGTGCCAAGAGACGAGTGCGAATCTCTCAAATTTGAGGATCTGCAATGTTTGGTTTTATTTTTGATTTGATCCATTTCTTGAGAGTGGAACCCTCCTTGAAGGGGGCTGTATGATCGCCAAAGCATACAGTGCATTTAGCCGGGGGGCTAAAATCTTTGGTGCAACGCACTGTTTGAATTTTTTATACATTTTACACACCTGGGCGAGTGATTACAGTAATTTATTAACAGCGTAACCTTATTCTTGACAAATATGGCTCTGAGTTGAATCATTAATTTTGACGTGATGTGGTTTTACGATGATCAAAATGGTGTGGAGTAGAGTAAAGATAAGTCCAACAGAAAAAAAGTGGTATAGGACGTTGGGTTTTTTTATATTCACCACGTGTAAAACCGAGTTCTCTAATTGTGCCAGAGCATCTGAGATATCAGATAAGATTGTAGACTGATGAAGGTTACGACTTACGAATGACTACCTTGTATTGTGGTCAGGTAAAATATATTGGAGTACACTTCTAAAATTTTGAACGGTGGAATTGTTCAAATGAAAAATGCCCAGCAAAACTAGTGTAAGACAAAATATAACTTTAACATGCAAGCGTGTGGCTGTCGAAGACATAATACAAAAATACATTAGTTTGTTTTAATTTATAAAAAGTGTCCACTATTATTAAACTACTACAACTATTATTATATTTTATGATTCAAAAAATCAAAAAGAATGTTAGATAGTCATTATTGATTGTCGTTTGGAAAAATAAGTACAGTAAAACCTCGCTAAAACGGAACTTCGGTAAGACGGAAACCCCGGTATTACGGAAAATTTTTTTGGTCCCGTTTCAAATTGCATATAATTTTATCCCGCTAAGACGGAAACCTCACCAAGCCGGAAACGGACACGTTTTTGTAATGAAAGTTGATGAAAACCCTCGCTAAGACGGAAATATAACACGATTTTCGTGTAATAAATTTATTTTCGTACTGTCGTTACCCATAGATTATCGATATACGAGCGCGTACGATGACATTAAAAACTAATAAAATTGATACGTACCTATACGCTATACAACATTATCTGAGTTGCTTGGTTCAGTATCAAATCATATATCGTTACGTTCGTGTCGCTGCGTTTTGAAAAAATATTAAAATAAAATATTAATGTACAATAAATATGTATGTAATCTTTAATTATATTAAATTAACTTTTTTAAACCCCGTCAAGACGGAAACCCCGTCAAGACGGAAAAATGTCATGGTCCCATGCGATTCCGTCTTATCGAGGTTTTACTGTATTACTGATATTATTTTTAAAATATTGTTTTATTGATAATGATTTAAAACAATTTATTAAAATGAACATTTGTAATCTTTGCTTAATTTTTAATTTTCTTAAAAATGTTTTTGTCGTGTCTTTAAAATATATGATTCAAACCAAGTCGTTATTGTAAAATGTTTACACAGGTAAATTTGTCGCAAATGGACTATCAGAAAAACATACCTTGTTTATTTTGGCACAAATAAGCGCCTATTAATTGTATACCGGAGTATCATTTAGAAAAAATTGGTGTACCTTATTATATGGCAATAAGCGATCAAAAAAAATTTGGGTCTAGGGCCGCCCAGTTCGTAAGTAGGGCGGCAAAGTACGGAAAATTTGGTGGGCTGAAAGTTAACAATAATAAAGACTCCAAAATACGTCTTGTTATTTTAGATTCTGAGGGGAGTGATGAATGTATTGATTTTTCAATGATGTGTGCTTTTATATTCATTTATTTTTGTGACTATCATCACGGTTTAGGGCAGCAAAAGTGCTTCGATTTTCTCCGACAGCAACTTTTCTGGAAGGAAAGTGAATTAGAGAAGTCAAAATTTAAAATTCCCAATAGTTTTCAAAAGCTACAGGAAAAACAAAAAAAAATAAGGAAAAACGTGAATTTTTGCGGGCACTTGGTTTTTTACAAAATCGAATTCTTATGAAAATTTCGATTATTATTTGTTTTTTTTTTAAATAAAATTTTTTTTGCTCAGTCAAAAAACTTGAAAATACAGTAAAAGGCTCCTCATAAGTTGTTGTTACTGAAAATTTAAGAAAAAGTGGAGCGTAGGTCCACAATAATTTTTTATGAGCGCCTGAATTTCAAATTTTGACAAAATACGTAAAAATCAAGAAAATTAGTAAATTATATTTAGTTAGAAATTGATAAAAATGTTTCTATTTACCTATATCTAAGATTTAAAAATGTAATACAAGTTTGTCTGTCTTTATCAAGGTTAGGTTATCAAGAAAAAAAATGTCTACCGGAAAGTCAAATTAACTTTTTATGGGTGTTTCTACAACATTTCACTTGTAGCGATTTTCTCATTTTGTTGTAATTCAAAAACGAATTACTGTAGACACTTGAAATTTACAGCGAATGATAATTTCATCAATTCAAATACTTGATAAAATGATAACATTTTCAAAATATTTTGACTTGTTTTAGGCTGTTGACGGACATTTTCAGTTTTAATTTTTTTTTCTATAAATGTCAATAAAATGTTATTGGTTTTGTCAAAAAGCATGAAAATTTAATACAAGATTCTTGATAACTTGTTTCAATAGCAGTTGAAAAATATTAAAAATACCTTGTCACAATTTTTTTTTATAAGCATTTAAAGTTCAAATTTCGACAATCTTTATCAAGTTGAAAATTGAAAATGATTTTGTAGTTCAAATTTTATAGGTAAGGATTGAAAATGTAAAACAAGGTTCCACTTAAGCAGTTTTTTCCATAACTGAGAAATCTAAAAAATATATGAATACAGTTATTTTTTACAGACATTCTAAGTTCAATTTGGAGAAAATTGAATATTAACACAAAGAATAACGTTCGTCGTTTTATTGTAATTCGGTTCCAAAACAGCCCAATTTTACATAGAAACATTTGATGTTTTTCCAGCATCATTGATAATTTATGAATAATATTAATTCAACTTACCGGCTACCATATTAATAATAAGTAATACCTAACAATATAATATATCCTAGACTGACATACCGTCTCAGCTCAGAATCATTTTTCATATACAATGATATGATATCATTGAATTCAAATGTAATATCATCCATTATAGCGACTTCCGAGACACCTAATGTGCAGCAGAGCGACATCCACTAACCCTCTTTTTTCATATTAGTAGTGCATAATAATACTTCCAATATTTACATTACAAATATAATTAAAGAAAAGATGTCACTGTAGTTTATATTTTTTCAGATTACTTTCAGAATATAGAGGAATACTCTAGACTTGCAAAATTATTGAATGGTATATCCAATCGTACAATAATTAGGAACAATCAGGATGAAAAATTAGCTGATGTTTTTGAAAAATGTTCATCAATAGAATTACCAGTTGACACGAAAGGATCCGATTTTATATGCTGTGCACCGGATGTCTTAGCATATAGTATAAAAGACAGTAAAAATTTAATAAAATTAGATTACAATTGTGCGGAAATAAATGGAGCAGGTTTTGGTGGGAAACTAAATATGCCTATTAATCAATTAGAAACAATTCTTAATACATTTAGAAATTGTGCCAATGAAATTAAAGAAGAATGCATAAAAAACGGAGAGTATCCAATGATAATTGTATCAAATTCTGGCCGTGAAGGAGTAGAACGTATAAATGGTGAATATCCCTTATCAGCAAATAGCAGTATGATATGGGAAACATTATTTATCATTGATGAATTTGCAAATCAGATAAGTTCAGTAACAAATCCTTGCCATGTAGATTCAATTGATAACATTGCAATACCTTATTTTAAACAAATTGACATCGCTAAAGTTAATTTTGATAGGGGTATTTTAAGCAAAGATGAATATAACAATGAAATAAAAAGTGCGTATGCCAATTCTACAATTGGGATAAAAAAATATGACGATCAACCGATGGTGTTGTTGGGTTACACCAGAGATATTGTTGAGTGCTGCAATATTGAAAATGGTCAGCCATATTTATTTGGTCGGCGGATTAATGGAATTCTTAACGACCGTGCAGCATTAAACCTTAGTAAAACAGAAAATAAAAAGATCAACCATAAAAAAGTTCACATTATGAACATAAGCTACGAAGAAGGTAGTGACAAGTATGTCACTGCTTTGGCACGTGAGAAATTTCATGCTAGCACGGAATCTAAGTTGTTGCCAACTTTAGCGCGGGATAGAGGTTTTATCTATGATGTTTGTGGTCTTGATAAATCATATAATTTTCAAAGTAATGAAGAAGATTTAATTTCAGTATCTGTCATGAATGATAATGATCTTGCTGCTTATAGAATGAGATACTTTCGAGGGATTACCGAACAAGATGGGATTAATGGTATTATGAAAGCATTGGATGATTTCAAAAATCTAGGAATGAAACCTTTGTACAAACCTAGTGGCACTGGTCAAAGTAAAGGAATTATAGCGTATAAGACAGGTGAATCAAACGAAGATTTTAAACGGCGTTTTTGTGAAAACATAAATAAAATAAAAAAAGAATATGGCAAAGGTGCTGGTTATCCTTACTTTGTTATGCCAATTTTAAGTCTTGCTAGAACTATAAAAGGTGAGCTATACGATCTGAGATTTGTTATTTATCGAAAAATAAACTGTACGGGTAACTCTACCATTCATACAATTCCACTGATATTAAAAAAATCATCTGAGAAAGTAACAGAAGAATCCATGGAAAATAATGATTTTATTCCGACAAATGTTTATTCATCAGTTATAAAAACCGGACGACCTGGAGCAGAATTTCTTGTACCTTTGTGCAGGGAAGACAGCTTAAAACAAGCAAATCTTACGAAAGATCAGGTTAAAAGTATGTGTTTATATTTTAGTGCATTTCAGTGTTGGCTGTTAAAAACTAAATACACATTTTAAACCAATTATACTATTTGATAGTAAAGACAAAGCCCTGTCATAAAAATTGCATAATTACGAAACCATTTATCATATTTTTAGACACCATATTCAATGTATTTCGCTTTTCTTATAATATTGACTTCGTAATTTTGATATGATATAACGATCCACCTGCAGTTGAATTGAAATAGGATGTATTGTAAAGTAGAATAATTTTTAAATGTGCAATATATTTTTTTAACAAAATTTATACCTTAGATCAGTAGCTTAATTATGGTATGTGGGTATTGGGGGGGGGGGGGAAATGTATTCTCTCAAAGCCTATTTTATTAAAAAAAAGAAAGAAAGGTAATTCAATTATTGTCAGCAATTGGCTGTATAATATTTTAAGATTTTAAAATAATGTTAATGGCCAATGGTTGCTCTATTAACATAGCAGTGGCGCGACTATGACTTTTTTTGTGGGAGGGGTTAACTGTAGCCCCTTCCTGATATTATAAAAACATATATTGTAATTTATACCATTAATATAAAATTTGACTTCAAAAAAGTTGATTATGTATAAAAATATGGGATGAACGTACCTTTTAACATTTCTGTCATTTTGACCAAATTTACCAATCACGTAAGGAGCTGTGAACAATTTAATTAACGAAAGCAAAAGGTAGGTTTGAAACGTTTGGTGTTTCGTTTAATGAATCTAAGTATTTTCAACGTTCTATTAACGTTAAAGTTGATATGATGGTCAAAAGAAAGGGATAAGGAATAAAATATCTCAAGATCTTTATTAACAACCGATGAAAAATAGATGAAAACAAATTATTTAGAGGCTCCAGTATATCATGTTTTAAGGCCGTCGAAAGTGAACCATTTTTAAGGGGTCGGATTTAGACAATAATTTATACACTTCGTGAGTGATGTGTAACTGTGTGTGTAGTGACTGATCATTAGTGTGCGAGTTCCTCGAACACAGGAACACTTTATGTAATTAAATATAAACTACGGCTAAAATTCTCGGAAAACGTACAAACGCGCTGTCACGCGTCACTATATTTTAGAGATCAAAAAAATTTCAACATGAAAGTCCCGAGAAGTGGGAAAAAAATTCACCCACTACCAACAGCCCGAATTTAAGTTGAAAACATATTGAATTCCTTATTCTCTCTTCTAGGTTATGTAGGAAATGGATTTTCGATTTTTTTATATTGTTTAATTATTATAGACCACAGTGTTATATAAGACCGTGGTTAAACGGACGTATCACGTATAGTACCAAATTAATTTTCTTTTTTTTCTCAAAATTCACCTTTACTTTATTGTGACTAAAAAAAAATCAAAAATCCATTTCTTACATAATTTAGAAAAAAAAATAAGAAATTTAAATACTTTTTCAAAATTACAATTGGACTCCTAGAAGTATATTTTTTTTCTTCTGCTGTTGATCGAAATGCAGAAACGACCAGCTTCAAACGGCTTTAAGGAGTTATATTTAGGCAATTCATATGACATGAACATATTTTGGTCTATATTTACGTGTGAGCATAATAATAATGAACTTTACTCTATTAGTGTATGTTTCCGAGAACCACTGTCACAATGTCTCACAGCGTCGGATGCAAATTCGTGCACATGTCAATACACCGCAAAAATGAAATATTATTCTTGTTTTGGAAAACTATAAAAACCACTAAAAGAAGCAGTAAATTTAACATACTTCCTGAAGTCGGATTGTAATTTCAAAAAATTGTTGAATTTATAAGCTTTTAGACTAGGTATGCTCTTGGGGGAATCGTTTTTTCTTTTTTATTAAAAATCAGATGTGCAAAAAATAATTACAAATGTGATGCAATTATTTCATGTTTTTTGGAAAAAATATCTTAATTTTAAGGACCTTTAAAATTGAAAATCGACCTTCTAAAAAGCATAGATATTTTGTCGAAGAATTCATATATAGGTATATTAAAAATTAAAATCGGACGTTCCTAAGTACCTATGTGAAATTTAACGAGTAATAGAGGTATGTAGGGGGTCGCATTGTCTCCCGCTATAACAATTATAAAAACTTATATCCCACCCTGGGACCCTGAATTAATCCCTAATAATTTTGCCTCTGCCACTATAGTACTATAAATCATAGGCCTTAGCTGGGATTTGGTATTTGGTGTGCCTTGAAGAAAATGGACAACTGTGCCTTGACAAACCTAACCTAACCACCCTGTGATCACGCTTATGAATTATGGTACTTATATACTATGTCTATGCCTGTTATCTGCATCGTGCATTCTGTGGTTCAAGGTTTAAGATGGAATAGTTGCGCATTGATGTAAGTTAAATGTTAACCATGTTTATTGTATTATTGTTTATCTATAAATAGTACTTATTATAATATACATTTCGTTTCTATACATATGAAATTTATATAATACCTATGTAGTAATTCATAATTTTTCTTACCACTAAATAAAATAACAATTTGTAAGTTCTTGTTCTTGTATTTATTTATTATAAGTTTTTATTTATTTGAACCTTGTCCTTTTATTTTAATAAATCTGTTAATATGTCTTTGTGTACAGTAGAAAACTGAAATTTATAAAAAAAAAGAACCTTAAAGATTCTGATGTAAAGTTTCATCAGTCCCTAAAAAATCCAGTTATTGAGAATATATGAATTTTAGTATTTTTTTTAGAGAGTTTATAATATTAATGAAGACTTTTTCGATCAGCCGTCGCCAACCTTTTGGACCTCATGGACCACTAATCCTCTGCCTTAGAAAGAAGGCAATACTGTGCTGGACTCTTCCTGGATGTTGCTCAGGCCTTTGATAAGGTCTGGCACGACGGGCTACTATTTAAATTGATAAAATTCATGCCAGCTCAATTATTCTTAGTTATCAAATCTTTTTTAGAAAATCGAAGTTTCACTGTTAGACAAGGAAACTCATTTTTGCCTCGATTCAACATCACTGCAGGAGTGCCCCAAGGTAGCGATCTAACGCCTGATCTTTATAATATTTACACTGCCGATATTCCACAAACTCCCAACACACTATTAGCCACCTTTGCTGACGACACAGCCCTATTGTCCACAAGCGATGATATTTCTATAGCGGCACACAATCTACAACATCATACTAGCCTAATTGAAACCTGGTATAAAAACTGGTTGATTAAAATAAATGAAAGCAAGTCAACTCAAGTTACTTTTACCCTTCGCCATGGCAACTGTCCCTTAATTAAATTAAATAACGTGAATATTCCTGTCAGTAATGAAACCAAATATCTCGGCATAATACTTGACAAACGCCTAACTTG